TAGGTGTTTTTCCCCCTCAATAAACAAATACTTATTGGTAAAGTATTCTCATGACTTTGCAATATGTAAGGTAAAATAACTGAAGGTAAAATAACTTAAAATAATTTAAAGTAGTAAAGAACTAAAGAAATGAAATCTTCATTAGATCTCAATTTTTTTCCTGTTACAAACAAGAAATCTTTTGAAGTGTTATGGATTGTGATTTAAATCTCAGCAATCGGCCTGGTGTTACTTTTCTTGTGCTCTAGCTGTGTTAAGATGATGGCTTTTTGTGAAGAGCTGGTAATCCTTAATGAGCGGTCATGAATGCTCTATCAAAAGAATGTAATTTGTAAAAAAAAAAAATTGTAGCTTTTAACTCTTGTGTTCATTGATGCGCAGTTGCATTTTGAGCAAAAAAATCCTACCCATCACCCATTTTCTACACCTGGGTCAAGGGGACAAATGTAAATAAAATGCCTTGTCTATTAAAATACATGATATACTGGGGTTTGAATCCTCATTCTCTCAACTGAACGTCAAGTAAACGAACCACTACACCATGTAGGGGTTGCCCCTACTAGTTGAATGCAAAGTCTCATGGTTATAACGGAAAGACAAGAGTTCATTCCAGGCACCACCTCTTTAAAAGACGGAAAGGTGCTTTGGGTGAAAACGTCATGAAAGAAGGGGGCAACCAGAGATAAAGAGTTAGGGAGCGACTCTTGTGCGTACTAGTGCCGGCTCGAATGAGCGAGGGAGTGACTCACAATATCACATGGTTTGGTGAGCAAATTATGCAAGCTCATGTTCAGAAGAATTCACATGTGCTTCGTCAACAAATTAGCCTCTGACATAGACACCGGTACGTCAGGAATTCCTATTGATGCTGTTGTGTTCACTTGTTGCAGAATGAATAATTCAGCACTGACGTTTCATTGTTGTGCACTGTAATAAAAATAGTTCACATACATGTAGAAGAATAAGGCATTGTATAAAAGTCTGGTGTATTGCTTAACAATATGGCAATGCATTGTGTGTATATGTGTGCATGTTTGCAAAATTATGAATAATAACGGTTTGATTACATAGATGAAACCACATTTAATCTAGTTTATTTCTGAGTTTTGTCATGTACCTGTACATACAAGTTTCAGTGGTGGATTGGGGGGGGGGGGGGGAGAGAGACGAAAAGAACTTAACTGGTATCACATATGAATGAACATTAAGACCATTTGCAGTAAGAAAAGTTAATGAGATTGAAAAATTAAAAAAAATTGAAACTTGATTGGACACCCCCCGCCCCCAACCCACCAGAGGATCCACCACCTTATGTACTTAAAAAGTCCTACCTAATACACATGACAAATATTGACTCAGGTATTTGTGAAAGAAACCAAAGTTTTCATTTCCATACTCATAACATACATGTACAATACAGAACTAACAGAAACATGTTATTTTGTATTTTGGTAGTATGACCTCGGAAATGAATAGCTTACATACATGTAGTTCTGTTTTAGGGCATTCATTGTGTGCTACGATCATAGGCCCATTTACACAGCCCAAACACCAATTTGAAAAAATCATCAATTTATTTTACTACATTTACACTACTGAAAAAAACCCATTAAAAACGTTGAATTTTGCATGTATATATATTTTGGGGCGAGTTGTGTGCATGCACCACTCGTCATTGCCATGCATGCGTTAGCATGGATGTGAGGAGAGTAATGTGAGCAAAAATCAGTATCTTACCAAAGTTTGCATTTACACTGCAAAAGTCAGTGAAACTGTGGCAGGGGCTTAAAAAGAAAAACGTACTCCAGAGGTGGATTTATAGAATTAGATTTTGTTGTTGTGTTTGCCAGTAGTTGCTATGTTATGCAACTACCGGCAAAACACCAGAATGTGAGAAAATCAAAGATTTTCGGTTGCAGTGTAAATGCAGGTCATGAGAGGAAACTGCAGGCTTTGTGGTTTGGTTTGGGTTTTTTTCAATATCATTTTAGATTGTATTGTTTGAAATTGACCTTGTGAAGTTGTGATACTATAGTGTTTTGTTGATTTCCATTAGAAATGCAGTGAGTCAGAAAATCATGGACAAAAACGTTTAGAAAAAAAATAGATCAATGTGAAGGAAAGTTATTGAAGCATTTGAATTGACATTTACTGGTAAACATGGCTCTCGAAGTTAACGATTAACTTGAGTTCTGGTAAATATAGAAAATAAGTGAAGAAAATGGGGACCTGGTAGGAATTTATTCCTTGAAACGCAGAGTGTATGACAGCTGCATTGCTAAAGCCAGGGTAATTATGCTGCATTATTGTAGAGTGCTTAGAGACTTCTGTTAAAGTAAGTATTAGGCGCTATATAAGCAAATATAATTAAGTTCTCACAGAATCCAAAAGGAACTTACCGGTATATTAAATGTTCAAGATCACAAATAATGAAATAAATGACATGTGCCATGTGTCAAAGTGTGAAAAGTGTTTTATTGGTCCTCTTCTTGCACTTGATAATGTCTGAGGCCTACATCTTTTTAGTGCATTTCATTTCCAAAGCCCCGTTTATAGTCTAAAGCTCTTGATATTTACCTGTACCACTTTCCCAAATGAAATCAATCAACATTAAATAATTTACCACATATGATCCAGTATTTGTTGGTTTACAGCTCGCATCACTTTTAAGCCTACAAATGTCACTCTTAATGACTCACATTACTCAAAAGAAACAGGAGGAAATTAAATCTTTCTCCTTTTCCCCTCGCTATTCTCTTTTCCAAGTTTGCCTGGTGAAAGGTCATACGAGTGTCATGCATTTTACAGACTCTCGCAGCTACACGTGCCAGTATCTTGCTGGTGTGTACTCGTGTAGAAAATCTTTTTAACAGCTGGCCTGTCGGGATGCCGGAGATGGAGACTTAATCAGTAAATTGCCTTCGTTTGCCTCTTCGTGTGGCCAATTTGCAGTGGTGGAAGGTGACGTGATATGCATTGAGTAGCAATCAGCTAGCCAATACACATTTGTTTGCAAGAAATTGAGTATTTGACATTGAGTCTTTACATCAACACTGGCCAACATGTAGGTCTGTGGTGATCATATTTATTAACAACAAAACAAAACAAGGAATATACAACTGTATGATATTTCAGAGATATTTATACTCGAAATTCAATTATTGATTACACGTTTTATGATCATTCGACAATCGGGGCCCCCATCTTATAAAGATTTGATATTAATCGCAACTTACATTCACATAAGTCATATGAGACTGCAAATTTGGGATTGCTTGATCGCAACTCTTTATAAGATGGGGCACAGTTCTTTCATTACTACAGGTACACAATGATTTGAACATTTCATGTACTGTATGTTATGATGAAATATCTGACAATCTTTGAAATTTTCAATGGATAAAAGTCATGGTTTTGCAATTCTTGAGCATTTTGCTGAACGGATATGGCACTTTACAAATACTCGTTATTATTATTATTATTAAACATGTAGATAATTTAATAGACTAAAGTCATTACTTCTCATTAAAGTGTCTAACCAAAGAGAGATATCTCTGGTCTAACATAAGGATATAGTATACATGTACACATGACATACATTTCCGATATTTAAATTAAGCTTTATGAACATCAGCTGGTATACGTAGTTGTGGCTCATTTCATTTTTGGCATAATGTTTTAAAAGTTTTAAACTGTTTTTTAGTATAATATATTCTGTATTAATTTTAGAGTATGTTATTGTCTTTAAATAAACCTAGCTGAACCATCACAACTTGTTTTGACATCAAGTTTAACCATTGTTGGGCGAAAGCCAGTAAGATACCGTTCCGCTAGGAAATGTTTTCAGAAGCTAGAGTCGGGGGAATTTTCAGGTTGTGGAAGTGGGCGAAATTACCTTGTATGTAGAAATACTAGGTAGGGTGAGTAGGTGTGTCGAAAGTGGAGCTTTGTACAGAATTTTGAGTGCCCCCTGGGAAATTTGTCCAAAGCTGGAAATTCCTGTCGACAAATGATGCCCGAGTTAGTATTGTTAAAGACCCTATCCGATGAAAATATGATATGAATGGAATATGAATGGAATTTCTGCATCTAATACATGTTTCTGCATCTAATACATGTACATCATAAAGGAATAAAAAGTACTTACCCTTTCGTTATTGCACAAAAGCAAATTAAAACTTAATTTTCTGCACCCCTCTAAATTACAGGTCAACAGGGGTCAAATTTGCTGAAATTACAGGGACGACATAACATGTGGAACCCCATCGTTCCACCTACAATATAGCCGAGGCGATGAGCCATGCTTAATTAATTCAAAATCATTGTGAATATGAGTACTCCACATATTAAAGATGATGTCATCGAGTCGATAGCAAGGTTTTAGGTCGCCAACTTCCGATTGTCAAAGCTTTGGATTTTGAGCTTTCAGAGAGCCGATACTATGACAGACACTAAAATGGCATATACACTTATATAATTGTAATCTATGGCTTATAAGCTTTCCGTTGATATATAATTCATCCATTTCATTTTTCAGTTTGGATAAGGTCTTTATTATTCATACATGTATGGTGTGGCAAAATGCTTCACGTTTCTGCATCTAATACATGTACATGCACATCTACAGAGCAGGGCAGATTCCGGGCATCAACCCACCTTTTTTTCCAATATTGAAGACTGCCATCTAGTGGTGATAACTGAAGGAATCACCTAGAACTGAAAGCAGGAGAGCATTTTCAGTTGTTGAACGGACATACAAGTAACTTATTTATATTTTGATGATTATTTGTAGGAGTGAGCAGAGACTAGCGATTTTACATGTGTACAGTCAGGTACATGTACATTGTATGTCAACAAACTACAATGTGTATCAAGAAAAGATCACTCCATCCTACATTACAGTACATCTGCTTATGACTTCAGAAGTGGTCAAATGCACCATTTGATGAAAACAAAGTTTTTAATATCTCTTACTCTTAATTTTTTTTTTCTCATTTCAGATTGAGCAGTTTGTGACAAACAGGATTGATGATGTTGCTATTGAGAACTACAGGGACAATGCTGACTTTCAAGATATTATTGATGGCTTCCAAACCGGGGTAAGTAAAAGTAAAACCAATTAGTTGCAAATGGATCAAAATTGATGAAATGCTCCTGCCATATAAAGACAGTAGTGATAAATCATTCTATTCACCTGTTAAACGTGATGGTATAATTTTAAGACTGATCTCCGAATGTTCATGTAGATTGGAAACACCACAAGTTGTTGCTATGTCAGGCAGCCACAGGCATGGTTGTCATTAGATATTGTTGTAGGAGCAGGCAAAGAATTCTAATTTATTTGTGAACAAAAACCTAAAAAATTTACAAAACCAATAAAGTCAAATATATTCTTGGCTTATTGTGATTCTTGTTAAAGGCTATTAAAAGTGTAATACAGTCTGGGAAGCCCCATCTGCCTGCATTTATAGAAGCGCTTTGTGAAAACTGAGTATTATTATTATTATATGTCTTTTCCTTTGATATCATGATAAAAGTACCTACTCCCAATTCGATCTGGCTGCAGGATAAATTGTGTAGCTTTTGTTGTTACTGTTATTATTTTCCTTCTAAAAACAATAAACTGGTTAGAACTGCAACATGATAGACTGTTACTGCAATCGTCGTAGACTGTTACTGCAACAGGTTGCAGTTAAGTTTGAACAGGAGAAATCAGATGTATGAAATCACCCTATTTGATATTTTTATCTTACATATCAGTTTATTAAGGCATATACAGTGTACATGTATAATGGCACAAAGCATTTCCAGCATTAACAGAATACACCATAATAAATTTATATCCATGTTATCACAAGCATGCCGGTAAAACAATTTAAACTTTAAAATTTCTTATGCACACAGTTGAAATGTTGTGGAGTGAACGGCTACGATGACTGGAACATGAATGTCTACTTCAACTGCACTACAGTAGTCGGACGTTACAATCCAGAGGCATGTGGAGTACCCTTCTCTTGCTGTGTGCCAGACCCTGCAGTAAGTACCAAGACACTCAGTACCCTTTGAACTTTGACCTGTGAGGAAATCTTAGAGGGAAGGTCAAATTATGATACTGTTGAAGCTGATGTTTTTTCACGGATGTTGCATTTTAATGAATTTTGTGAATTAATTTGTAGAGTTTAAGTCTTTAACGATTCACAACTGAGAGCTAGCCTTGTATTGTGATTAGTCAGTATGGATTATTGCTAAAACAACTTTTTGAAAAATTGTTGTTGGCTACAACAATATGGAAAAATATTCAAACATGGGAAAACAGAATATATGAATAAAAAATAACTGTGAAAGTCATTGGTACGTATTGTTTTTATAACTGAAATGCTAATTGTATCCTTCCCATTTTCCCCCTCCCCTATCTCTTTCTCTCTCTCTCTCTCTCTCTCTCTGTCTCTTTCTGTTTCAGGATACTACTGATGTAGTCAATACACAGTGCGGGTATGGTGTGAGAGAAGAAGACCAGGTAAACACCAGGATACATAAATCATACCTTAGTCACACTGGCAAGACCAACACCAGACCGACACCAGACCGACACCAGACCAAACAAGAAATTGCAGCATCTCTAATGGAGTAGAATCGGTTGGGTTTAAGTCGGTTTGGAGTCTGTTCGGTCGGGAGTCGGTTTGTTAATGTGACTGAGGTGCAATTTCTAGCATGAGAAAGATCATCCTAAATTGTTAGAGTTCGAGTGGTTTGAAAGGAGAAATATATATTGTCCATGAAACAAATCAACCTGCATGTAATTCAGGAGTCTATAGTGCATCTGGTATATGATAGGTATGATGTTTCTCTCATTTTTCTGCTTCTATTAAAACCAACTTAATATCAAGATGGACTTCCTTTTTAAACCCTTTTACTAGAAAAGCTACATGTACATGTAGGCTGAGCCAGGGTAATAATACAAAGCTTTTTGAAAGTGCTAAATAGAGACACTGATAAGTAAGTTAAATTCACCAGACCAGAGTACTATAGTTACTATTATTAATATTTAGCAGCATGTGTTTACCCTCATTTGACTGTTATCCTTATAGCGTAATAGCCTTTCAGAGAGGATCTATGAGCAGGGATGCATCTCTGCCTTGAAGACGTGGCTTTCCACCAATCTTGTAGTGGTAGCTGTTGGCGCTGGTGCCATACTACTTGTACAGGTGAGCCTTGAAGCAATGTCAGACTGGCAACAATACTTGTTATGATGATGTCATTAATGATGTTAGATGAAAGTGGTGACGATGCTGAAAGTGCAGAAAGTGCTGATGTTGGTGATGATGATGATGACGATGTTGATGTTAGTATTGGAGTTGATAATGATGACAATGACACAACAACAACACTGGCGATGACAGTGATAGTGATGAAGGTGACGATGGTGATGATGAAGATATTGATGATAATGATAATGATAATGATAATGATGATGACTAGTACACTGGTGATTTTGGTGATTGTGATAAGGATGATGATGGTGATATTTGTGATAATTTTTATTGGGAACATGACAAACATGCATGTATGTTCTACCAAAATACCATGATAGCAAACAATTTTACTTGAAGGGAAATTGATTAATGGCGGATTCCCACTCTAAGACTGATCCTGAAGGAATATCAAGATTTAGGCCAAACATTTCTACTTAAATCTTTTATTCTATGATTCTTGGAAATATTTGTTATCACGAAGCATTCCCTTTTCCATTTCAATAAACCTGCAATTACTTCTGCGCAACAGGACATTCAATTTTGCCTTTTGGTATCTCTCGCCAGCCACATAAATTTCCCATGATACCGTGAGACACTTTCCAAAGAATGAAGATGATTTCTCATGGGGCTCTACCAGATTTTATTCGTTTTGGGGAAGATTTAGCCACTTTGTAGCTCATTGTTATCAATCAAAAAACAGTGCCAAGGGTACAAATCCTAATCATACAATGGTGCCTCAAGGATACTTTGATTCTGTAAGCATGTTCACATGGGACCGTTGCAGCTTTAAACTTAAACTTTGAAATTATAGCTTGAGAAACGTCAAAGTTATAAACAACTATCCACTTACACCAATGAGGGTTCACACGGTACTAAAACAACAAGTCATCTGTTTGGAGCCAGAAGGGCCTTAGCTCTTTATGAGTTTTACCCTTCTGGCTCCGAGCAGATGGAGTGTTCGTAGTTTTAAACTCCAAGCCAGCCAAGCAGTTATTTTATCTTCAAGCTGACATAACCTCAAATTCGATAGCGTCTGTGCGACACATAACCCCAAGAAAGGACATCCTGAGGCTCATGGTTATTGTGCAAACCATAAGATTGCTTGTAGTTTAATTAAAAGCGTCGCAATCATGTGTGTTTGCACGATCCCTTATTGCACAATAACTTCAAGAGTTTAAAACCATTACCTAAACCTGAAGTCGACAGAGTGTCGTGTGAACCTAACTAAACATAGAGTGTCTTTTGACTACTAAACATATTGCTGCTAAGGATAAAGTTCGTATGATTGCCTTGCAAAAAAAAAAAATGTTCTGAAATTATTCGGAAAGGTTGGCTTTGTAGAATAAAAGTATAATCGTGTATCATGAAGTTTTAGAACCATCAGATCAAAATCCTCTCGCTATTTATATTTTACTGATTTCTATTCTCATTCTCATTTATGATTGTTTCATTTGATTTAACTTTCTACATTTCATATCCCATATCAATTTACCTTTTATATCTACAAACCTTCAGATCTTTGGATTCTGCTTCGCAACTTCCCTCGCAAGCGACATCAGACGTCAAATGTCGACTTGGAGACAGCGTCCTTGAGGCAAGCTACCGGTGGCACATGTGGTCCGAGAATTTTTTTTTGGTACAACCATGCTCCGAGTTTGACTACAAAAGTGTAAATGGCCTATTAGTAATGGAATACTCAAGGCAAATCCTGGCTTAGACCGGAACTTATTTGATACATGGGAAATGGTTGTATATTCTTGATTTAAAGATGAAGTTGAGTTCTGGTAATGTGATTGCATTGTGAAAGAAACGGTGTGGAATCGACCAAAAAAGGTTGATCATCTAGCATATAAGAATTTGTGTGTATTGCAAGGTTCTGGAATCATCAAAATGATAAGAAATTTGGCCAAGTCTTGGTAAAGTTACAAACACTGTACACAGAAAGATGTATATGGGACTACACGAACACCTGGCGTAAAAAACCTACCCCCCGAGTTTTACGATTTACATGACATATTTAGAATATGAAGGCATTTGAAGAGCCATGCTTTTCAGGGAACATGTCTTATCTGATGTTCTTCCACACTTGCATAATAAGAATGATAAAGTTCACAAATTATTTTTCACCTCTTCCCAGAACTCAACCTTCTCTTTAAGCATTTGCAATTCATTACACAACTGTACTTGCTCTCCATAAACTCAGAGGCTAAATTGTGTAGAATTATATATGTCCTGGTATAAAGTGTACAATTTTGATGTAAAATTATACCATCAATAGTGGAAGAGTCTATTTATTTGAAGTTGTCTGATGTTTAAAATCATTCGAGCCAGGGGGAGCTATTTGGAGCCACCTCACCAACGCATTTGTGTGAAATGAAAGTTCCATTGTTACTATTATTGTTTGGTTTTTGAAGAATCTACTTTTGCCTTTGCTTAACACTAATTTAATAGATATACATGTAACATATAATTTGCAAACTCTGTATTATATTACATTTATAGGTAAGAAGGAATTGAAATATGCTGAAACTAAGTTGCTAGACTCAAAGTTCATTGTCATTAATGCAACATTTTTTAATCCATGCTTACAAACTTTAAGAAAATACTACATGTACGTAGAATCAATCATAATTTAAAGTACTTAACCATGCCTATAAAAGATAAGATGTATATAAACATATATGTTCCTAATGTATTTGAAGAAAAGTAGTTTTAATTATTGATTTTAAATCTTAAATTAATTACATTCTGCTTGTTATTAGTTGACACTATTAAACCAGGATGTAGCTATGGCTTTTGTATATACATTTGTAGCTTTCTCTTCATTTCGTGGTTGAATAGTGAACAGAAACATTGTGAAGGTACAACCAGGATCCTGTAATACAATATGTTTAGCATCAAGTAATGTGAATCCACAATTTACTATGTAAAAGCCTGAAATTATAATTAAATCTTTTCTATGGATATCTGAAAAGGTGTAAGAAGGTTGCATAATTTTAGGGGGGCAAGATAACAAACTTAATTTGCATCACTTTCTATATTTGCATACCCCTATGGGGTATAACATAGCTTCTGCACTTATCAAGATTTCAAACTTTTAGTGTTGACTTTTAAAAAGATTGTGTGTGTGTGTGGGGGTGGTGGGGGTTGGAGGGATGGATTGCAGGGATGGATTGCACTGTGGGTTGGAGGGATGGATTACACTGTGGGGTGGTTGTTTTGTTATGTCTGTTTGAAAAAAAGGTTCTTTTTCACTGGCTGAATCATATTTTTCATCCATTATTACAGGTAATATTGTGTCTTTCCTACTAGAGTTAGTAGCTAGAGTACATGTGACATGTTAGTCTTTCTGAAATATGAATCAAATGTGGAACATGCACTGGTTTCTAGGATAGGGCTGAATTTCGGGCTGATGTCATGTCGACACATTAAGTTTTACTTTTTTGATCCTTTCTCTTTTGAAAGCTTTGCTACAAAGGCAACAAAAGGCTTGCATGTACATTGTATACCTACTGTTAATGTAATTTTTTGAATGTTCTGTTTGTTTTGTTGTCGTTGTTTCTTTCTTTCTTTTTTTGTCAGTATGTCCATGCTCTTAGACAGATGTTTGTTCCTCGAAATGGACGATGAATTCAACAGACATTCCAACTTTTTAAAATATCTTGTCAGGTGCATTGTTGATGTTTCAGGGTTTGAGATAACTTTCAAGGCTTTACTTTCTCATGTGCTTCCATGGCTTATCATCGAGGGGGATGCAGATGCAGAAATGGTTGTGTCAAATTTCAACCTTCAGCAGTGCCATGAGCGTCATGCCTGACGGACCAGCCTGTCTTACAAAGAGTTGCGATTGATCCAAATCAATCGCAAGTCCTCCAATCAATCGCCAGTTTGCAATCTCTTATCTATATGTACATAGTTGCGATTAATATCAATTGCAAATAGGTTGCGATTGATATCAACTCTTTGTTATACAGGGCCGTGGTGCGCTTCATAAGAAGCCACAATTATTAATATTATTATCATTATTAGGCTTTTACTAAGGTCATATCACTCTTGTTCTTCTTTGTGCTTGTATTTCTTTGAAAAAGAATATCAAGATCTTGGTTAAGTAAGTTCATAGTAATCCTCTCAGATTTTTCTTAAAAATCACCTGTCCTTGTTCTCAAATAGTTTCACCCCAATTAAGAAATGCAGCATGTATATCACTCTAGGTATGAGTCTTATCAGATATTAACTTTGTATATCACTTAACTTTCAGAAGTCTCATTTTTAGTTTCTATTTACTGTAATTTTACTATTTTGACTAAAACTGTTTAGAATGGGATTCATATGTACTTTGCCCAGCAATTTTGTATGTTTGGGGAAAGTTTGTTATTCCCTTTGTCTCTTTAGATGGTGTAATGGACACTTTAATCAATGACATATTCAAGTTGGTATTTTTCTATTTTTTCAGATCATCTCTTTCTTTTGAAATGGAATGCTTGATATCTGTGGTTCTACATGGTCTGTAAACTCTATTTTAAGAAAAAAGAAAGATAAGATTGTCACACTAATTGTTGAACTGAACATTGATATTGTGCACTGTATATAAAACCACACATGATTGTAAGGATATGTAAATCTCAAGTTATCAATATGGATGAGAACCTGACATAAAGATGGATAAATATCATCATGTGAAGTAGAACATATGTCTCAATGACTTTTCAGAATGATTAGGTAATGTATGGTTCTGATACAGTTTTAATCTAGCTTAAGTCACCAATGTGAAAAGGGCTACCTGACCTGAAGACAATTCCACAAATGCAAACTCACCTGTATGTATATGGGTTTTGATGTAGTGTTTGTTTCATCAAATTTACTTAATTAGGTGAAGGAAACGCCCACCTTACCGGTTGGCATTATAACTAGAATTGCTTTAGATCCATCAAATGTCAGCTCTTATATTTAATACAGAAACAAAGAGGATGAAAAAGAAAATAGATGAAAAAGAAAATAGAGGAAACCAAATACCACTCTGCAGATCTTTTCAAAAGTGCCTTTTGCTTTTTGTTTTGTTATTTTGTATGAATGCACATGTACTGTCCTGTGCAAAGATTCTAGGAGAAAACTTTGATAGGTTAGGCAGCCCTTAGGCAAGCATCAGTAATCGGAACATTACCAAAATAAAAATTAGATAGAACAATTGTCAATACGGAACTACACATACACTACGGTACCAGGCAAGCCAGTGTGTTGTCAGTTTACTTGCTCATAAATGAAAACTATGTAAGGAATGTTCAGGACAAAACATGTGTGCCTCCATTTTAAGTCATACATTCGTCTTTGAGGTTTAAAGGGCAATCCAATCCAAATAATAGAGTGGGAAAAGTTTGAAATAAATCAAACCAAAAATAAGAAATTTATAAAGGTTCGATTGTGACGTAGTCAAAGATAATTCTCTCATTTGTTGTGTAAAAAACCCATACATTTCTTTGTTTCTCTTAAGCGCCTTCTTCCTCGGGCACAACTCAAAATATATTGTTGATAGCATAATCTAAATACAAGGTTTTCTAAAAGGAAAAAGACACTCCCGAGGCAAAGATTTTGAAAAATTGATATTTTAGTTATATTGTGCGTCAACAAAAATGGGGTAGTTGTCTGGCACTTCTCAATAGTAATATTACCAATTCATATAGTGATTAAAACTTTCAATAAATGGTAACTTTCTGATTGCATTCAAACTCTCACCTGTCAGCTTCTCTGATTCTTCTGCTTTCTTTTACGGAACTTCACTATTTAGTAGGGTTGGATTTCCCTTTAAGAATATAGTTAGGGAGGGTTGTTGGTTATGGTCGATCTTCGCAAATTGAATACATACAACTGTCAAAGATCATAGAATTGTAACAAAATTGTATATACATGTATATCTTTATCATTATATACATGTTATGTATTCAATGGAATGTACATAGATGTTATATGAAAACAAATATACTTGTTTACATTCTGTCATAATGTTTTGTGTACACATAAAGTGCTTACATGTATATGAATTTTTATTGTATTTTGAAATGAAAGAATATTAGTTATGATTACACAAAGATTTGTCATAAGAAGTTAATTATTTTCTCCAGTTATCTTTGTAGTCGTAAAGAATAAATTGAATTTTTAGGTCTCTAATTAAAAATATATTTGAATTAAGACACAACTACCGGTATGTTATTATAATAGGGGGGGGGGGGAGGGTTGATAACTCTGCATGTTATTTAAAAATGGATGCAAATATAGTTCAAAAGAAATTATCACTTCTGATAACTGATAACAGATCATTTTTGTTTCATTTCAGTCATATTTGAGTAATTACATTCCAGGGGCTAGTTTTCTCCCAGCTTATTTAGGCAAGTTTTAACAAAAGCCATTTTTTCAAAAGGAATTCGTGTATCAGGTGCAGATATATTTGTCATTAAATTGTAGCATAACAGTAAGAATATACATAGTTTGAAGACAATTAGACAACTAATTTCATTAATGACTATTTTCTGGATACGATAGCGAGCACATTTTGTCTACATTTGTTTTCTTTAATTAAGAGTATGAATGATATTTTTTGTGCTTTGCTCTTATTCATCATATTAGCCTCTAGCATAAGTTTTTCTTCAAAACTATGTTGTTGATATCTGCCATAGATATTTTGTGTGTGTAATATGAATTATCAGAGTTTGTACATTCTATTATTTTTAGATGTTATAGTATGTTCTTTTGTTCAGAAGATTAGTATG